GTTCTGAGAAGGTGTCCTTGGGCACAAACCCAGGCGGAGAGAAGGAGGAAGTCCTTGTGTTCCTGGGAGGAACGTTCCAGGCAGACACCTACACGTGCAAAGACCTAGAGAACAGACTGTGTTTATTGTCCAGCGGGCTGGAAGGAGCAGAGTGAGGCTGGCTTGGGGTAAGGAAGATTTGAAGAGAAGGAATGGGCAGACCTCGGCAGGCCCAGGAGGCCCTGGTGAGGACCATGGCTGTTGACTGAGTGACATAGCCATAAGTATTGCAGCTCTGAAGGGAAAGGCTTCCCCTCCAGAAGTGTTACAGCTCTCCTCTGGCTGCTGCAGGGTAAGCTTTCACCAATGCGAGTGTAACAGTTCTGCTCCGGGAGGGCATAGTTTCCCCAGCGAAAGCGTTACAGCTCTGCTCCAAGAGGTACCCAGCAGTCCGGAGACAAGGAATGACACAAAGTCACATCACTTAACAAACCTCATACAAGAGCTGTATTGGGAGGAAAACAACCTAGGAGGGCGGCTGCCTCTGCTTGAGTGAGAAGTGGCAGGGAACTGAGCAGGAGTCCTTGGGTGGGGGTGGGGGAGGTTTCCAGGGGGGAGAGTTCTAGGGTGAGGATTGGTGGGATTTCAAGTCCTGAGCTTTGGTGGGGTTTTCTGTTCGAGAATTGGTTGGTTTTCATGCTCAGGGATGTCTGGGTTTTCTTCACCCTTCTATCCTACAACAGCCACTGCGACTTTCTGAGCAGAGGAGGACTTTCACTGACTCGAATCCTAACAGAATCTCTCTGTTGGCTTTGCTGGAACTAGTGAAGGGGTCGAGATCATTAAGGGCAAAAATGATGGTGGCTCCCACCAGGATTTTTCATTTTGACATGGAAGTCTCACTGTGTTGCCTAGGTTGGATGCTTCCAGCCTCCTGGGATTTTTCTTCCTCCTCCTCCAGACTTGTGGGACGAGAGGAGAGCATCACTGTGCTAGCCTTAGGATGCTATGTCTTACTGGTTTTAGCAGATAGGCTCAGGGTACCAGGGAGAGAGATTTTAATCTCGTTGGCTTTAAATGAGCAGATTTTCCAAAGCTAGTGCTCCCCCTAAATATGACCCCTCCGGGTAAATTTATCACATTAGTTAGTTACACACACGTGTGTGTGTGTGTGTGTGTACATGTGTGTACAAGCATGTGCATGGGACATGGTGCACATATGGACATCAGAGGACAGGTTTCAGGAGTTGGGTCTCTCCTACCATATGGGTCCTGGGGATTGAACTCTGGTCTTGAGGTTTGGCAGTTGGCACCCTTAGTTCTCTTAACAGTCTCCTACTCCACGACTCAAAACAGCTTCAGGAAGTCCCTGAAACTGACCAAACTCACTAGACCCCTCCCTGTCAGAGTAAGCAGTAACAGCTGGGAGTTCCTCTCAGACCAGCAGAGCTGCAAAGGAAACTTCAGAGAGCCAAGCGGAGAAGACTCTGAAAGCAGAGCAGCTGGGCTGCCGGGAAGAGGTTTAACCCTACCTGAGAGCAGAAAGGACACTCAACAACCTGTTGAGCTGCCTGCTGGCTGTGCGGTGTGCTCCAGGCTCCCAGCTTTTGGGAGTTCTCACCCATGCTGGGGTGTGGGTATAATGTTCTTTTGGAATGTATACTCTCAAGTTTGTGCAAACATCCCACCAGTTGTTCTCTATATTGTCAATTAAAACAACCAGCCATAATGCCTAGCAATGGAGAGAATAGGGTGGGACATCCTGGTCTGGAGTGGGAGGAAGAGGCAGGAGGGAGGAGAGATGGAGAATCTGGAAGGAAGGTCTTGGAACCACGTGGAGAGATGGACTGGACCTTAAGTATGACTAGAAGCAAGTATAATGGGTAAAATCTAAAACTATGCGGGCTTGGAGGTTTGGGATGGAGTAATCATTGCCCAGCATTGTGCTCTAGGTTAATTAAATAAATTCCAGTCTCTTCGTGGTGATTTGGTTATACAACTGTTTAGGATTAACCATAGCTTAACTAAAAGATATATCAACAGTAAATATTCATACCAACAACACGGGGTGAGCTTTGGTGACACAGCTGTCCCTGAGTCATTTCTATTCTCTGAGTCATATCTCGCCCATACCCTGTACGTAACCCAAATAAAGCTTATTGGTTGGTCTGGAGAGATGGCTTAGCAGTTAAGAGCACCAGATCCTCTCTTTGAGGACCCGGGTTCACATGGCAGCTCACAGCTGTCTGTAACTCCAGTTCCAGGGGATCTGACACCCTCACACAGGCATACTTGCACATAAAACACCAATGCACATTAAAAAACAAAAACAAAACAAACAAACAAACAAACAAACAAAAACACAGAAAAAGCTCATTGGTTGACCATGTTGGATTCTTGTGGTATCTGCGCTTGGTCTGAAATGGGCTCCCTGTCTGGGGTTATACCTCTCCAGGAAGTCACACAGCCCTATCCCACTGACCCTCTTACAATGTTTTGAGTAAGGGCAACTCATTTGTGATATCTGCTTAGCCTAGTGGGATGGCTGCTTCGTTATTTTTTGTTGTTTGTATTTTTGTGTAATGGGGCTTTGAGACAGGATCGTGTTTCTCAGGCTGGCCTTACCACAAGCCTTTTCCTTCCACCTCCACCTCCCAAATTCTGGGATTAACAGGCATGCGTCACCATGCTGGGTCTGGGGCAGTATGTTTGAAAGGAATACTTGAATTTCCTGAAATTCCAGAAGGTCTAGCTGAGAACTTCACGCCGGCATTGTTTCCTGAGTATTTATTGCATTCAATGCTGAGGTCTAGGCTACACAGCTCTCCAAAGGCAAATGTTTTATTCTTCTGCTCCCTAGAGGCCATTTGCCTAATAGCAGCCCACGCTGTGACTCCTGAACTTGGCTCTGGCCTGCAGAAAACCTTAGAGAACTGAGAATACTCAGCCTCTGCCAAACCTGGACCACTGGCTTGCACTCCCAAAGACAACGTGTTTGTCCAGCCTCCCCTTCCTGTTTTTCCGGGGGGTGACTCTGGGATTGGGGGGGGGGGGGGCAAGACAGACCAATGTGCAGAGCACCCAGGGAGATGAGATGGTTCTCTCCATTCTGTCTTCTTTTTTAGGCATGGTCCTTCTCTGTAGTTCTAGTTAGCTGGTATTCCCTACATAACCCAGACTGGCTTCAAACTCATGACGACCCTTCAGCCACCAGCTCTGTGGCGTTGGAATCCCAGGCATGTCCCACCATTCCTGCTGCCACAGCTTCTCTGTGTGATGCCATTTTCAAGCCTTTATAAAATCTATAAATTGTGTTGAGCATGGCTCCCATATCACCCCAGATCCTTCCAGATTTCTCTTTCTCCACCAAGTACCCTGCCTTGGTGCCCAGGCGCAGTCCTCTGAAAATCCTGGAAAACCACAATTTGAGGCCTTTCCTGGGCCTCCTGTGCCTTCAGGCACTGACTGTTGGGGCTTTAGTTTTCTTCGGATTTCATTAAGACTCATGAGGTGTTAACCGCGTATGTTGGCCAATAATTGCATTTGTCTTTAAGGTTATTTGAAGGATGCTGGTCTAGATGTTTGCCCAAAACAGCTCTCAACCTATGGGTTGTGACCCCTTTGGCACACTCTGCCTCTAAAAATATTACATTATAATTCATAAAAGTAGCAAAATTACAGTTATAAAGTAGCAATGAAAAATAATCTTATGGTTGGGGTCACCACAACGCGAGGAACTGTATTAAAGGGCTGTAACATCAGGAAGGTTGAGAACCGCTGCTGCAGACAGTGACGCAACTATTTAATAACCGGCAGGAATTATTAAACCTATCAGTTACATTCTTTCAATTTTTTTATGTGTATAGTTGTTTGACTGCATGTATTTCTGTGAATCACATGCATGCAGTTCCCACATGTTAAACAAGTATTGGATCCCCTGGGACTGGAATTACAAATGGTTAGAAACCACAGCATGTAGGTGCTGGGAGTTAAACTTGGGTCCTCTGTTAGGGCGGCCAGAGCTCCTAACTGCTGGGTCATCTCTGGTCAGTTACATTCTTTTGATGCAAATTACAACAAACAAAACTCAGGGGTCAGGATGTAGCTCAATAGTAGAGCATTCAACTAGCATACACAAGTCAAGGCCTTTGGTTCAATCCCTCACACCAAAAGCACACACACACTCTTACACACACACACACACACACACACACACACACACACACACGCTCTCATGCACACATACTTTCAAACTGAGCCAGGCATTGTAACCTAAGTCCGTAATCCCAGCATTTGAATGGTGGAGGCAGGAGGATCACTGTGATTTCAATGCCAGCACAGGCTATAAGAAAAGAAGGAAGGAAGGGAAGGAAGAGAAGGAAGGACACAAACTAGCTTACACTGTTGTCAAACATAATTGCAGCACTTTTAAAGACCTAAATGACTTTTCTACAGTAAGTATGTTTGCAGTTCTAGAATAATTTGGCAATACCTCATTCTTTAAAAATAAAATGAGCCAAGTGTGGCTGGCGGTGCATGCCTTTAGTTCCAGCACTCAGGAGGCAAGGCAGGTAAATTTGAGGCTACCCTGGTCTATATAGTGAGTTTCAGGATGGCTAGAGTTATGTAGAGAGACCCTGTCCCAAAAACAAACAAACAAACAACAACAACAAATGAATGTTTTGACGGCTTAAGCTGTCCCTGTTGGATTTATAGACAGCTAATGAAAGCAAAAAATTTACTTTCCTTATAAACTCAAAGCTGAGGGGATTCTTCTCACCATGACAACCAAAACCGGCCTTTTGGTGCTTTTGCTACCTCTCCCCATAGCCTGATTTTTTAGATGCTCAAATAACTTAGCTTTGGAGGGTTGCTCTGGAGCTTCACTGGGAGCAACGTCACTTTGGTCTGGTCTGTTAAGCGTGGTGCAGAGCCTGAGCCAGTGGCCTCACATAGCTATTGTTATCACTATTACATATTTACCTATGTGTGTGTGAACACAAAAGCATGCCCTGGCCCACATGTGGAGGTCAGAGGACAACTTACAGGAGTTCATCCTCTACTTCCACCTTGTGGGTTCTGGGAATCAAACTCGGGTCATCGGGTTAGGCGGCAAGTGCCTTTACCTGCTGAGCCCCCTCAAGGTACAGTGTAAAGAGAGTTTGCTCCTATCACAAGATGAAGCTCTTACAGAGAAAGGGTGAGGCTGGATTCAGAAGCCAAAGGCCAAAACCAGACTTCTGGGTTCCAGTGTTTCTGGTTTATCTGTCTTTCTTCCACAGGTATGAGAGGACACTGCTGCTCCAAGCTCAGCACTGTGGTGTAACCCAGGGACCTTAGGTTCCAGTCTCCTCTGCCGAGGAGAAGCAGGCATGTGCCCCTTTCCCAGCAGCCTCAGTGGGCTTTGTCACAACTTGTCGCTTGTGCTTAGATTATAGCCTCAGTTCCTGAGCTAAAGCTTGTGTCTGTTGTGGATATGAACATGTTTTCATTTTGTTCCCAATAGTAGGATGCAGGACTGATTCAGATGGTTCACAGCAGCAGGACTATTTGCTTTGTGCGGGCTCTGAGAGGAGCTCTTTGCCGGCTGCAGATTGTTTAAATCTGAGGACTCTGAAGAGAGAATAAATACCAGAGCTCAGAGAGCAGATGGATGAGAAAGGACAAGGCTGCTGCTGCTTCCACCTTACTGCTCCTTCCACCTTGCTGCTCCTAGTTGCTGTTGTGAGACAAAAAGTTGAAGATCTCCTGAAACAGGGATTGGACTAGCTCCAAGGAACCTGACAACCCTAACCAGCAGGAAGCATCTAAGAGAACTGTGCCCCCTCTCCCACTAACCCTTTCTCTCTCCTACCTGGTATTGGCGTGTTGGAAGGGGCTGAGGTGGAGTAAGGAGAAAAAGATAAAAGAAACATAAATAAAAGTTTTTAAAAACTACACCAACACGTCTTGATAGTGGACCTGTGAGTGAGAAGTAGAGAAGGGTCTGAACTCAAGTTACAAAGTAGGAAACATGGAGAATTGGATAGCAAACATTCACAAACATGCCATTAAGCCAATCAGGTAAGAGAAAGATGTACATGTTTAATACAAATGTAATTTTCCCCAGATAATTTCAGTCTCTGGGTATGGAGGCTGACCATCCTTCAGTTGGCACGGTCAGTGGCTTGAATTACTCTCGGCAATCACTCTGTCACTCAGCCCTAGACCTGCTCACGCTCTCCTCTTTTACCTTTTAAGACAGGGTCTCACTAAGTTGCCTGGGCTGGCCTTGACCTTGCTCTTTGGTAACTTGCCTCAGCCTCCCATGTACCTGGAATCACAGTCCTGTGCCCCCATGCCCAATGTTGCATATTTGCTGCTGTTGGTTTTCCTGCATGTGCCTACATTGCATGCTTGCCTGGGGCCTGCAGAGGACACAGATGGCATTGGATCCCCTGGGACTGGAGTTACAGAGAGTTGTGGATCCTGGGAACTGAACCCAGGTTTTCTGCAAGAACATCAAGTGCTCTTGATCAGTGAGCCATGTCTCCAGCCCCATAATTGCATGTTTTTGTTGTTTGTTTTTGCAGCTGGAAACATCCTAACAGGGTATGATGCCTTTAAAAGCAAGGCTTTAAATGAGATAGTGGTTATAGTACTTAATGAGGTTTAACAGGTATTTGCTGTTATGTTGATTAGCGTATACACCCCTCATTTACTTAGGAGCTCTTCAGGGGCGTCAGTGATTCTCCTGCCTGTTCTAGACTGTTACTTAGGTCATGCTGGACCCTGCCCCAAATTATCCCAAACCGTGTAAAATGGTGAGTCTTCAGACTGTGCCTTGCCCTGAGAGATTCCATTTTACGAGGAGCTTTTTATTCCATTTTGAAACTGGAGGATGAGTGTGCACCTTGGTGGATATGGAACAATGTCCTTCGTCAGCCCAGGCTGTTGGCGCACTTGTTAACAGCACAGACTGTTGACACTGTGTTCTTAAAAGTGGGATGGGCACCACCCTATATGTTTATCAGAGCAAACTGTACTAAAATCATCTCCGAAAAACCAGGCCAAAGAACCAGTCTGTATCTCTAAAGGAAAGAGACACTATCACTGGGATGGTGATGGCCCCTATCTGATACCCGCTATGTGTGTAAGGAGACGGACAAGCAGAGAACTCATGACTGTCCCAGGGGCTTCATTTTGGCTCTGTCTCCACTGTTGACATGGCCTATCAAATCACCACCCATCTGGCCACCTGTTGGTCCCTCTGGACCCGCTATCCACCCATGTACCCATTTGATTGCCTAGGCCCAGTCCTCTACGAGGCTAGACCACCTCTATGGGCACACTGCACCTGGCTTCTGCAGCTGAGCTCCGTGGCTACACCAGACCTACAACCCAGGGCTCTGGCAGACCTCCAGCCGGGGGTTTTATTCTGCATTTCCATCAGCTTCCCAGCTTCTAGCGTTTGAACCGCCTTGAATTCTGTGTTGGCCTCTTTAACCCTTAGTGAGCACTCAGTAACCTCCATCTGGATTGCTGTACAGAATTATGTACTGTGTGGTATGTAAGATACCCACGAGTTAACATTAGTAACTAAGGAGTAAGACTATGTTTGAGTTGCCCAGTATCAAGAAAAGAGGTACTTCTTGGCAAATTGCTGCCAAGAAGATCTTGGGACATTATGAATTTGTTGTTATTCAGTAAATTCTGAGATTACAGAAGGACACAATTTGTTTCTGACAACGGACGCTCATGATAGTTGTAGATAATAAATAAAATGATTCAACCCAAAATGTAAAGATTACCACCTCACAAGAGTCAAGTATCCATCCGCTGAATTTTATTTTGTTTTTGCTAGCTCCAACAGCCTTCGGGGACTCAGCGGTGGAAGCTACATCATCACCAGCTGCCAAGTACAACACCTGTACCCTTTAAAAGGTCCTCAGTGGGGCGTGGTGCAAAATGCCTGTAATCCCAGCACTTGGGCAGGCAGCGGCGGAGGATCTCTGTGAGTTCCAGGACAGCCAGGGCTAAAACAGAGAAACCCTATCTCGACAAACCAAAAAAAAAACAAAAAAAAAAAACAAAAAAAAAACCTCGCCATCGTGGTCCACTCTCTTGATCCCTATGTCTGTATCTCTCTGTCTGTCTGTCTGTCTGTCTCTGTCTTGCTCTCTCTCTCTCTTTACTCGTTCTGAAGTGGGCCTTTGCTCCCCCCACCCCCATAAATCTCTTGTGTGGGTGGGATCTGTTGTGTGGTGTGATCGCTGCAACACAACCTTGGCCCGACCTGCCAAGGTACCCTGCTGCATAGACCCTAGCATTGGCACCTGCCGCACGGGACCCTGTCCCTTATCTCAGGTCTGACTGCAGCAGACTCAGCTTCCCCCACTCCCCCACCCCCATCACTCGGCCCTCCTTCCATCACAGTCAATTAATTGGTGATCCCTCTCGGGCGGCCTAACCACCTCTCTGAGTCTCTGATACTCTTGAATGTGGGTGGTACCCGCCCTTGACCTTGGGTGAGGTGTCATTTTTTAGCTCAGTTTTCACCTTTTGGCTTCACTCATAAGTCCTGGTACCAGGCACTGCGCCTCTCCTTGGGCTTAGCCAGGCTAAGCCATGCGGTGAGGTAACAACCATTTAACCGCTGTGCCTTCCTCATTCAGTCCCCTTGGACTTCAGGCCTTGGACCTCCCCATGTCTGTACGGCTCTCCTTTGGTTTACCTCTTGGAGAACCTCCAACCCCTACACCTAGCGCCCAACTAAAGGGGCCTCTAAACTTATCCAGCATTTACAGTCAAATCTGGCCTCAGCACCCCTTAGATAATCAATCCAAATGTGGTGGAGCAATGGGGGAAGGAAAAGCCCCACCCACCCGGTGTATAAAGGTCCTTCCTGTCTTTAAGTTATGGTTGTGGAGAAACAGCTGATTTTCTTAAACAACAGTTGAATCTAAGTTACATGCAATATGTTCTAGGCAAAAGTTGAATTGAATATATAGTATGTTGTAGCAAATTAAAATTACCTATGCATAGATTTTAATTATAAGCCTTTTGCTATAACTTTAAAGAGCCAAATTTTGTTACAGATTTTATAGTTTCTTAACCATATTCAATGAATTTACAAATCCTGGGATAGAGTTTACTACATAATTTTAAGTTTTGGTTTGTTTTTTTTTTGTTTTTTTTTTGTTTTTTTTTTTTTAATTTTGAGAGCAGAGTACAGAGAAATCGTATAGGTAAAAGATTTTTAAGAGTGGGAAGTAGAACCTAGATCGGACATTTAGATGATACTTCCAGCCGTAAGTTAGCCTTCTCTGGTCTATCAGGATGTTGGCTAACTGTAGCTTTAAGACCAGCAAGCAGACCACCTTCTCTCCCAAGGCTTCAGCTGCCTTCTCGGCTCTCTTCCTGTGTAAAATCAGGCCACAGGCCTCACTTTCCCAGGCCTCCAGCCAAGACACACAGTTTACTTGCTCCCTGAATCTAAAAAGAGAAAAACTCAAAAATCAGGTTTCAAGTGCGGGTTGGAGATGGCTCAGTGGTTAAGAGCACTGTCTGCTCTTTCATGATGGTCCTGAGTTCAGTTCCCAGCCACCACATGATGGCTCATACCATCTATAATGTGATCTGATGCCCTCTTCTGTCATGCAGGTGTACACTCATATGTATAAATAAATAAATATTTTTAAAAAATCAGGTTTCAAACTTTTACTATTCCTTTATTATTTAAAGGAATTTGCTTTAAAGTGACTGGTCTCAATTATCAACCACCAACGTCTCATGTTAAATAACTGCGTAAAAAGTTTAAATTTTATGCAGGTTATTAAGTTATTTCTCAAGTCCAAGAACCTGGCAATGGTGGCGCTGTCTTTAATCCCAGAACAGGCAGCTACAGGCAGATCTCTGAGTTCAAGGCCAGCCTGGTCTACAGAGTGAGTTCCAGGACAGCCAAGGCTACACAGAGAAACTCTATCCCAGAACCAAAATAATAATAATAATAATAATAATAATAATAATAATAATAATAATAATGTGTCTAAGATGTTTCAAGATATGTAAATGTAGTTTATAAAGCTTTAAAAGTGGCATTTCAGGTACATAAAAAATAAAAAGTAGTACAGATTTCATTCCTTCACTCTGCTGTTATTAAGCA